AACTCAGAGTTTATATTCTGAGATTATGGGATCTGAAATAGGTATGTTATTCCTCCAACGAGACTGGAAGGGCACTCTCTAGCAAATTGTGTAACTCTTGCGTCCACCAAGGAGGCTTTCAGAAATATGTTTAGGATAGGATGTGGCACCAGGATTTTTACACAAGTGCACAAGGTGAATCTGAGGCCTAGCACTTTGCTGTTTATATCTTTTTAATAGGTTTATATCTACTATGTGTACTTGAGAACAAACCACACTCTTGTTTTAACAATATTTACAATGTAAACTTTATTAGCTCTAATAGACTGAATAACATTATACGGTGTTCGTGATAATTACGAGAGTTGTGATAAAAAATGTGATCCACACTGTAAGATTGCTCATATGGGAAAATTCAATTTGAAATGTAATTTAGACTTAGACCTGTCAGTGAGTTTAAGGCAGGGCAATATTTGGTCTCATGATCTTGGCTTAGGCATGTTTTTCTACAGTTATCTTGGGGATGCTGCTGCTTTCTAGTCAGTGACTCTGCGAACTGGTATCACATGGGCAGAGAAGATTTTCTTACACAGCAGATGTCAAACTCTGGACGTTCCAGCATTCTATATTTTCTTTGTGTAAGACCCAGCAGTATTTAACAGAGGTTGCTAATTCAACATACCCATAGTGATGGGGAAGCATAAATAGGGGTAAAAAGAAAGAAAAGTCTCATTAAGCACAAAAAATTTTGCAGAAGAGTGATAAAAGCAAATCTGTTTCAATGTGCTGTATTGTATGCTGGGTTTGTGTGGATAAAAGAGACTTTTAAATTAAAAAAAAGGTTCTTCCTTTGTATGTCAACTGAAGGAGAACCATGTTAAAATCAGAGAGCATTACGGCATTACTGGGACTGCTAAGCAGTGACAAGAACATTAGCATCCAGAGAATTTCTAAGGCAAAGGAAATAAATGGCCGTCAAGAGCTACCTACATGTAAGTGGGAGGCGTTTTATATATATTCTTCATGTTGACTCTGCTGGATACATTTTCATGTGAGGTTATTATTTTTAAGAAGGATAGTCTAACCCCAGCACCAGTACTCATATATTTGCCAGAAATGGAAAAATGAAGCCCGAATCTCAACAATAGGACCTTAAATTAAAAATTTAATTTAAGGAAATACACACATATATACATAACATATGTACTGTATTTTTTAAAAATTAAAATAGAGCAGTAGTTCTCAACTGGAAGGGATGATTTTGTCCCCCGGGGGAATTTGGCAATGTCTGGAAGATATTTTTGATTGTCACAACTAGAAAAAGCTGCCACAACTTGTGGCACCTTGTGGATTAGTGAACACTGCTAAACATCCTATAATACACAACATACTTCCTCAAGCAAAGAATTATCTAGCCCAAAATGCCAGGGCGCCAAGGCTGAGAAACCTTGGAGTACTTGACTAGACAAGAGGACAGGAGAATTAGGGTATCAGAGACCTTTAGAAAAAAGGACATGTTGCTGGTCAAGTCAGAAGATAGGGTGACTGATAATAATCAATTCTGCCACTATCTAAAGGACAGTTTACAACTAGGAATGACTGATGGCAAGTTCTCCCAACAATATCTTATACATTTTAGATCTGTGATAGATTACTAGAGGGATGTTGCTGACATTTAGGTTAACCTTTGAAAATATCATCATGAAGAACAAACACCGTATTATTCTATCAAACAACCCTTAAAGTTATAGTAAGATAGAGCAATGGGCCAAGTGGAATATTGATTTGACCTAGTATAATATCACTTATCTTAAACCTTTTATGTATACTCAGATATAGTAGAGGCGAGGCTGCAGGGGGATTCTCTCGTAGCCTTTTTACCTGGCACTGACAATTACCTAGGTCCTGGGCCTCAGGCTAGATAAACTGAGTAGACAAGTGGTCAGTGTGGTCTCATCCTGCTGAAGGTCAGACGGTCCTGGAGACATAGAGGGAAACTGCCCCAATAGCAAGCAACACAGCTGCTGAGGGGAAGAGACGGAGCCAAGGCTGAGGTACATGTGTCAAATATACTATGGTTTCCTTTCAGGATAAGAGATTCTGGAGGCTTTTCAAGTTTCTCGGTAGATGAACATCTAGGGACATTACTGTTGGGGGCAGAGTCCCTGGGTGTGAGGTGACTCACGCTTGCTTTGCTGTCCCATCACCAGGGTCCACTCACTCTCTCTGCAGACACGTTCTCTCTCTAGACTAACAGAGAATGTTCATATGTAAATAATGGCTTTTGAAATTAATATCGTTTTCTCAAAATACTTACAAGTTATTGAAACAAATTATAAATAAAAATATATATCAATATTGTCTGCATTGAGATTCTTCATGGGACACAAATTAGAACTTTGGTTTTATATTCACTAGAAGTTACGATTTTGGTTTAGTTCTCTTCAGATGAAGGAAGAAAACTTCAAACATTCCTGAAATTTTGAAACAAATGCAAACATAAGTTAACTTTTATCTACCCAATATAACAAATTAGAGATAAATCACCTGTAGTTTCTTTGATAAACAGAATTACTAAAGTTAAAAAAAAGACATAAATTGGTATTCTTTTTTTTGGTACAAAAAGTTGGTTTTATTAAAGCACAAGGACAGGACCTGTGGGCAGAAAAATGTGGTGCTATAGCAGTATTATTCTTTAGCAATAGAGGAAAGAGGCAATAAAGTTATGATTGTATTTTAAATGATCTAGTGTACATTAACTTTTGGATATTTTGGAAAATGTGCTTCAAGATGCCAAAAATAGCCATAATCTATTATAAACAGGTTGTTGGATTTAACACAATAAAACATATTGTTTCTGTGGTTAAAAATAATTCAGATGGCACTCCTGGTAGAAGGACCAGTAAATGGAAATTTTTTTTCTGTATGAAGTGATTTGTGAAAATGATGACATAGAGGACAATGAATCCAGGCTTAATGAATTGTGACTCCTCTGGGCATGAAGAAGGTAAATGAAAATCAGATATTCTGTACAGGAAGACAGACACAAGCACCTTGAAGGCAACTTATTTACCGCCTTCTGTTTTTCTGAGAGGTTGAGAGAATTACCAACATAAAATCCCGTGGGCGTTGTATGGCTTGGCTGAAAGAGGAATTACCATGGAGTTAACTGATGCCTCTGGGTTTTCTGTTTTGGTATGGACTAGACAAGAAAAAGCTGTTCCTGCATAAAACTGGAGTCTGCACTTTGGTTTAGGGGTCAGCTTTTTTGAATAAGCCCTGCCTACTCTGAATCTAGATGCTAAGTAAAATACTGAAAACAATTAAAATTATTACTCTCCTCATGGGAGGAGCTGAGCTATAATGGATATTTTTAGAGTCATCTCGAAATAAGCAAAACTATTAAATATTATTCTTTTAATGACTTTTTAGAGAAAAGCAAACAAAAACATGACAGTAATGTCTCTACGCTCAGAAATAATCTAACATTCTTATGAATAATTACTACTCTGTGTCTGGCATTTACACAAAAACATACCTAGTTGTATCAGTGTTGGAACCTTTGTAGAATAGAAGGTACTTTTCTGCTTCGGGTTTCATTTTTAGGAAAAAAAAAAAAGAATTTTCAGAAATCCAAAAATACTGGGCATTTTAGGAATTAAAAAAGAAAACGAGTCATTTTCTCATGAGCCCATGCTAATAAGATATCCAGGATATATTGGTGGAAGAAAAAATTAGAATATTAAGTATGATCTTAGTTTCATTGAAAAAAAAGAACATACATGAATAAAGACATGTGTGTTCATACGCAGACAACATTTTTAACAGGACATGGAAGAAACTATTAGAATGAACACAAATATTAGCCAGACAGAGGGGTTTTATTTTTTATTTACACTACTGTTTATTGGTTAAAATTTTAAAACTATGAGCATATATTGCTTTTATAGTAAAACAACTTAAAATCATTAAAAAATTTTTTAAAACAGGAATTTTAACAACCTTCTTACCCAAATAAATGGATGACATAGATTCATGCTTAGGCTGGCAAAAATAAAGAGCCTAAGAAAACAAGATCCAAAATACAAACACAAATAAACCAAGGCCATCAGCACTATTTTTTTTTTTTCAAATCTCGGTTTTTTCCCTCTCCCTGATAGCACCAATATTCTTCCTTCTATTAGATGCAAATTTACAGCACCTCGTGCTACAAATGTTGTGGAGTGAGCTTGAGGAAAGCATTCTCCTCTCTCTCCCCTGCACCACAGGTCATCGCTGATGTGTCTGGGGACCTTCTGGCCTATCGCGGAGAGTCGCCGCCTCCAGCCCTGTGCCCGCCACCTGCCCTGGGAGAGCCCGACGATGCCGTCACCCACTGACACTGCAGTGAACTCGATGAAAAGCTGGAAGGTGCCTGGCATGAGCAGCAACAGGACAGGTGTGTGCCACTTGGAAGCACTTATAGGATGCAGCAGCTGCCAAGCTTTTAAAAAGGTATAATTTTACTTCTTATTCTATAGTTTGAATAGAGAAAATTTAAAGAAGAAAGAAAACTACTGAGGTTTCCTTTTTTCCTTAAAAAGTACAGAGAGTACAATTCTAAAAACTTGCACATGGAGATGAACACCACGAAGCAGATATTCACAGGAACGTGGAAGCTGGTGTGACACAAATTGTGGCTGGCTGTGCGGAGGGCAGCTGTCCGTGTTGCGGACTAGTAAAAGGGACAAAAGGGCACTGGTCTGACAACATGAAGGCCCAGCTCTCAGCTAGGAGTCATCCTGAACAAAACTCTTACAAGTTCTCTGGATCTTGATTTCCTTATCCGTAAAATGAAGGGACTGACTAGAATCACTGTGGATGATCTCTAGGGTTCCTTCCAGGTCACCAGTTCTGTCAGTCTAAGAACATAGAACCTTCCCCTCCCCAATTCTAGGCACTTAACATAAAAGACTACTTTTCATGTTCTTCTTTTTAAACATATCTTTTATATGATAATAAATATAAAACTTGCTCTTGAAATTAAACATTTGATAGAATTTGTGGCAGGATCTTGATAAAATCAAACCATATATATCCTGATAAAGGAACTCAACTGAAGAAATGCAACTATGCCAGGTGCTAAGGAAGCCCAGTGACACATTTCTTAAGGCTGGCTGTTGGCATCATGACTCAGAGTGAACCCAAGGCATTTTGATTACTTGGGACAACATTACTGTTTCTTCTTTTTATAAGCAGAGATCATTCTTGATATTTTCCTGTAGAGAGAAGTCAAACATTATTTAACTACACACCTGGTACCTCCATCCCTAAGAAGAAAACCATGTAGGATTCCATTGTAACACATGGATTCAGACCAAGCAGATCAAATCATGCTCTTCAACAAAAGATATCTATGCAGCTTAAACCCTAAAGGCCATTGGAGTTCCTTCTCAACCATGAGAACTTTACTACTCCTTTGCCCACATGGAGTCCTATCCTCTGCAACTTCCTTGCTTTACCTATTTTAAGTTCTAAAATGCTTTACATTGCATGTCTTGTGAGTTCCTTTAACTCTATTTAGAATTAGTGAGGGCAGCAGTGAGATTAGGGTCAAGATGGATATTTGAAGAATTGGTCCACTGGGATATAAATATAAAGGTATACATTAAATACAGAGATCAGTCTGTGAGAGGAAAAAGTACACAACACTAAAAAATCAGCGAAGACTACAATGCAGTGAGTTCTTCTAAGTGCAGGAGGGGTGGCCGAGGTAGTGAGAACCAGGGACCTGAGAAGCAGGTAAGAGGTCTCTATCTACAGGGACATCAGGAAGAGGAAGGGGCAGTACCAACTTCCCAGGCAGCCAGTAAGATACTGACCAAGTTCCTTCTAGCTCCTCCTCCAGCTGAGGCAGAAGGAGTTCAAGGCTACTGCACATAGACGTGGGGTTGAGAAACCCAAATTTCAAAGGTCAGCACGATGTGGAGTCAGGGATACTAGTAAGTCACTGTAAGTAAATGTTACGTCTTTCATAGCATCTCCCACAGTTCTTGACACAGACTAGGAATATTGTGAGCTGTTACAATGAGTCCCTGTGTTAATGTTATAAATGCTTTCATTGCATTAAAAGTCTTTAGGTTGTAAGTTTACATCAGTATCTCCTTAAATTCTTAAATCTGGTGCTCACTTCCAAACAATGGATAATGTTACACATGCAACATGTGCCCAAATTCCGTAACAATCCTTTGTATCCTCTGTTGTCCCCATACTGTCACAGGCAACCACTGCCATATGTCCTTGCTGTATTTGAAACTGGCGCTTTACCTAGAAACTTTTTTTTGGGTCAGTTCTTTGTAGCACAGGCTATTTGTTCTCACATAACCCAATCATGAACCCCAGGGATCTGGAGTTAACACTGGCCCCCTCTTAGCTCTCTGTTGCTAATTTTAGGTTATTATACTTTCTTTCTTTCTCCCTTTTTTTTTTTTTTTAAGGTAATCTCTATACCCAACAGGGGCTTGAACTCACAGCCCCAAGATCAAGAGTTGCATGCTCTACCAACTGAGCCAGCCAGGTGCCCCACAGGCTATTATACTTTCAAAGCACTCCTCCTTGGATGCCTTGACACCTGCCTAGACCATCTCTTATTTGTCTTTGTAGCTGTTACCTTCAGACCTTACAGTCACTCTAACACATAATGGTTCTCAATGTTGGCCACGCATTAAAACAATCTGGAAAGCTTTTGAAATCTACCCATGCTGAGCTCCCATTCTAGGCCAATTCAATCACTTTGTCGGTATGGGGACATGCCTCAGTATTGATTTTTTAAATTTCTTAGTTGATTTCAATGTGTAGTCGGGTGAGACACCAAGGACTTAAGCTCTTGCTTTCCCAGTGTCCCCTGCATTCCAACCCTTGCAACAATCCTAGAACTTGAAAATTGAAGAGTACAACATGTCCACTGCTCTGGGTCCTAATTCCTTGGCCATTTCAATTTGAATCATGTATCCTTCAATAGCACTTCATCTCTTACACACACTCTGAATTTATCAGACCCTCGGGTTGCTGGACATCTAAAGTATTAAATAAGCAAAAGTGTCTGCGGGCTTACAGACCACAGTTCTGGCTTGCTAGCTTCTTTATGACACTATGCCTCCTCCAGGGTGTATGCGGCTTCCTGCAATCTTGCAGAGAATGCTGTTTTCTAAGGCGGCCAGTCTTCTTCTGATTCCATGCCCTTTCCAATCTGGCGGGCCCTCTGTGGCATGTCTGTCACCCCAGTGACTCTCTTAACAACACAATCATATCTTTTATCCTCTTGTGCTTGATCACTTTCCCAACTGCCCCAACTACCTATCATGCCAAATATGCCTTCTCCACTGCTATGGCCGGGATGCTGAGCGCTACTGAAGAAAAAAAATCCAACTACACAGAATTATGCCGCTTACATTTTTAGGGCATCCAAATCGCAGCTCTCAGCACTACTTATGAACCTCTTTATGTTCCAAATGAGTTCCTGCTCCTACTACCCTTACAGGTGCTCTAATGGTCACTATTCTTCTAACTGCTTTGACTTCCACTTTTGAAGTGGACCTCCTGTATGTTTTGGAGGACATAATGGTATCTGTAATTTCTAGAGTTCCACTCTATCAACTTCTCTGTATCCCTCACTGACGTAGAGGGGCGCTGCTCTAAGTTCAGCACTGCTGACATTTTTGGCCAGATAATCGTTTGGTGGGGTGGGGATTGTCCTCTGCATTCTATATGGCTAGCAATATCTATGATTTCCACCCATCAGATGCCAGTAGTAGCCCCCCACATGCATGTATTTGCAAAAACATCTCCAGACATTGCCAAATGTCTCCTGGAGGCAAAATCACCCTAGGTTGAGAAGCACTGTTGTAAGCCAAGACTAATTTATCAACCTTTCTGATAAAAATCTCTTGCTTCCGCCAAGATCCACGTGTGCTTTCTTTATCTATCTCCAACCTGAAACTGTCCATTGGTTTTGTCTCCTTAGAATATAAATTTCCATATCACTCCGTATTTAGAAAGTCATTTCTAGGATGCCTGGGTGGTTCAGTCTGTTAAGCGTCTGCCTTGGGCTCAGGTCATGATCCCGAGATCCTGGGATTAAGCCCTGCATCAGCCTCCTTGCTCAGCGGGAAGCCTGCTTCTCCCTCTCCCTCTACAGCTCCCCCTTCTCAAGCTCACTCTCTCTCTCTCAATAAATAAAATCTTTAAAAAAAAAAAAAAAGTCATTCCTAGAAGTGTATCGCCCACCAGTCACCATGTGACTTTTTTTCCCCTCCAAGTGAAGCTCTGGGAATGACTTCCATGAGTTCACTTCCCGAGGCCCCATTGCACTCTTCAAACCTTGTCATGCTAGTATCAATCACTGATACTTCTGCACAGGTGCCAGTGTTCTCCTGATCACTAAATGGTCAGACAGACTGACTGGCTGTCTCTGACACTACTGACTATACCCTCCTTGACCCTCTCCTGTCCTGGTTTCCAGAATACTTTTCTTCTGGTTCTTCCTTCCACTTCGATTATTTTTTCTTAATCTCTCCTCTTCCTCAGACTGTCCCTTAAATAACAGTGTTCATTTGGGATTCTGTCCTTGGCCTTTCTCTCAGAACTCTACAACATTTTTTTCTTCTGGGCTATCTCCTTCGTTACAAGCTTCAACTCTTCTGCTGTAATACACTGAATACACTAACTCCTCCCCATGTGATCTGAAGCCCTACCTTTTCTCAGATTCCAGTCCTGCATGTCAGACTCCCTAGGGAATATTTCTACAGACACCGCTAACAAATCCAGACACCTAAAATGGAACTCATCACAGCCTACTCCCTACCACTGCCTGTCTCTAGATCTCCAAATCCACATATCCTTATTCTTTTATTATTTCTGTGATACCACCATCTATTCAGTTGTATAAGCAGCCAGGGCTTTAGCACAATCCTAGATTCCAATTTCTCTAATCATATCCAATCAATTGTAAAATCCTGTCAATTATACTTATGCCCTCCTCTCCAACCACACTAGTTCAGGTGTTTATATTTTATCTCAATGGTTTCCTAATGAATTTCCCTGACCCAGGTCTTAGAGACCTCTAATATAATCACTGTGTGGCCACTAGAATGTATTTTTAACATGCAAATCTGTCCATGTCACTCTCTGGACTACCTCCTAGGGGATCTCCTTTGTCTGAAGGATTTACAACCTAAGCATCTCAGCAGAGCACACTAGGCTTTCCGTGGCCTGGCTGTTGCATTTCTCCCATCCTCTCCATTAGCCCCTAAAATCCCCAAACAGAACTGTACCATACCACACCACACCTTTCTCAAGTTATTCCCTCTGCTAGAATATCTTTTTCTACGAATCTCTACCTAGCATATACTTTTTCATCCTGCAAGCCTTAGCTCAAGCATGATTCCCTCTGGAAACTCCTCCTGGACTTCCCAGGCCACAGTTAGAGGGTTTCTTCCTGGGTGTTTCTAACCCTAACCCAATGCATGGTGCACTATCTTTATTATAGTTCCTGCCACAGTCCGCTGGAATTGCCAGTCTGTGGCTGTCTCACCCACTGGCCTGCAACCTCCTGATGGGGAAGTGCTTTGCCTACTCAATCTTCTTCCACTGAGGATCACAGAATGCCGAGCACGGAAATAAGCACTCAGTAAATATGGCTGAATGACCGGATGACACATGAGAGGTTCCACTGTCAAAACACTGTTGGGGGGACCACAACTGTATCATGACATGGTATTTGTACAAAAAAACGTACGTCAGTTCAAGGAGTCAAGAAGTGAAGTCATTCAGTCTAAGGCAAGAGCTAATGTTACATAATAAAGTAAGTTTAACAGGTAATATATATGATGGTACAGTGCTTATTAAGTTTTTCTACCAAAGTAGCACCATCAACAAAAGAATACTGACTGATATCCCTGGGGGATCTGATGGCACAGGCTAGAAACGGGACATTTCTCTAGCTAATATATCCATATTCATTTTAACTTGAAAACATTTTTGAAGTACTTAGCAAGTAAGAGGAATGCTCCCGGAAAATAGAACCTACTTATTTTATGGGCCTCAGGGACCTTTAGCGTTACTGTGTACTGCTCTGGTGGCATTGATGAGAGTGCCAGAATCACAGCTACAGAAATAAGTGTCCGCTGGATACTGCTCACACGTCAAGTCCCATGTTCCAGTCTGGTTCCATGTCCCATCACTTGGGCTGTGACTTGGGCCTACTTTAATCTCTCTGAGCCTCCCTGGTTTCCTCTTCTGGAAAGTGGCTTTAATAATATTATGCTAATGATTATAAAAATAATATTTGCCTTATATATTCCATAATGTTGGTGTCAATAGTCAAAGAAATAATAATGAAAGCCATGAAATATATAAGCATGAAAAATTAAGTAGTATTTTATACAGAGAGAGCAAAAATTAAATTCATAGGCAATCCATATTCTTAAAAACATTTACCTTTTGAGCAGCTGAAGAAGGTTTTTCCACTTTGGTTTTTTCCTTTGGGGTTAAAGGAGGGGATCGCTCCTTTATCTCTGGAGGCAGTTCTTGATATAATGCTGGAATTGAACAAGGGGAGTGCATGTAATCAAACTGAGGAGTACTGAGCCAGGGGGGAAAATAAACAGTAATGGAGAGGGGGCAGATATGAAACTAAAGATCTTGATATTCACTTCCTTCATGTAACAATAAGTTACCTGGTACTTAGTGTTAAGGAGATCTATAGCTACGCACATTAATTATTAAAAGAACATAATTTAGGGTTGGAAAGTTTTCATCAGCAGGATTTCAGAAACAGAAAACAAGTCCTTTTCACTTATTATGTGGTCATGCAGAGACTTGCTTATTTTATCTCAATCCACATTCACCAGGAACCTGCCATATGCAAGGCTGTCTGCTAGGTACTGCTGGAGCTGACAGAAGATGATCAAAAGACAGTCTTTGCTCTCAAGGAGTTTACAATCTGGTTGGAGGTAGTATGTTCACAAGTAAGTGTAACATACAGCACAATGTGACATTATTCCAAAGAGAGATAATAAAGACAGATTCTGATATGGATAGCAAATGTTCAGTGCCAAGAAGTGGTAAGTGTGTCAGTCTCTGAAGAACAGGTAGGATTTCTCCAGGCAGAAGTGTGGACAACGAATAATTTGGGAAGATGGTACAAAAGAAATGAGAACAGAACCCTGTGAACCTTGAATTTGTTCACAGGGTTGAATTTGAGATTATATAATTGAGATACATAATTTGAGAATATATAATTATAAACGAGATTATATAATAAAAAATATACATATAATTTATATAATCTTTTAATCTACAGTGTGGACTCTAAAAAGTTATATGGGAATTTTCAAGGACTAAAAAGAAAATGTGTTTCAGTGAAATGACAACCCTGGGAGACTCTCAATTGAGAGAAATTGGTAAAATACACCAGACTGAAATTCTACAACTATAAGATCTATTAATTGGCTTTGTGTATGGGTTGATTTTATTAATGGCTTCCTTTATCTCTTATTGGAAAGGGTGTTAGATGTCATTTAGTGAATCTCTTCATGTTTTTCTTTCTGGTGCCTTAAGATACAATAGGAGTAAGTTATTTATAATGATGGGGGGGAACATCCATTGTGTTGGTCTCTTAGAGAACATGGCTTTTAACTGAACAGCTGGTAGAGATTCTGTTCACATCTATACACTCCTTTAGAGCATTTGCTTGGCATATTTGGCTTCAGATAAAGATAAAGGACAATTTCTCCTACTATTTTTAGAGTGGAATACACTGCTGATGGTCTTTTTTTCCCCCCTAATGTTAAAACTGAGCAGGTGAGTTTTTGTTAAATTCAGGTTATAAAATAGGATAAAAGGGAAAAGAAGATAACCCCTGATGAAGTGAGAATTTCAAACATTATATTCTCAGGTTTTCTGAGAATTCTTTGTTTGTTCTGGCCTTTAAAAGCCTTTTTCAAGAAACAGTGACTGATGCCAAAAAAAAGTATTAATTCTTCTGGGATACAATATGGAATTCTGGCAGTTGGAGGATGATCACTACTTGAAACATGGAATTAATTTCTGCATGCAGCCACCACGCAGCACTGCGGTATGCTTTAGAAGTCGCACTTTGGTTATTATGGAGAAAAGCTAACATTAGTGGATTTTTAACCCACTGTGGATGAAGTATCTATAGCCTCTCAAGATTCATAAGCTTAAGGGGTTATTTCTGCAAATTAACTAGATTCTAAAGTTAAAAATCTGATACCATCCTCTCTAGAAATACACACATCACCTTTATCCTGTCTAGTGAAAAAAAGAGTTTAAATGTTTCCACTCGTGTCTGGAAGAAACAATGGGCTGTAATATCCAGTTAAAATTAAAGACACACTCTGGAGCCACTATGATTGCACAGGCAGCTCTCCTGATTTGGAAATGGGAGCTACTCCTGCTGCACTAGAGCTGCTGATGCAGTGAGAAAGCCGTCACTGTGAAGGGGAGGGAAGAAACTGGGATATGTGAGGCAACCTGGAAGTGGCAAGTAGTGAGCTTATGAAAAATGACGGGGAATTAACTTGTCCTAAAATTTCTTCCTTCCACACTGCCTTAATTTTTCTCCATTACATATCCTCTTTTGAACATTAAAGGTAGCTTAGGAGCTATCAATCATTTAGTACTCAAAGAAGAATTACAACAGTGACACGGAGGAAATGAAGAATTTTGTTATGAGGGAGAGAAGTGGGTAATTTTTGAGACACTTAGCACTTTTGAGGGGAGGAGTTTGCTGAAAGCAGCAGATAAGCTGAGGGAAAGAGCTGCAGAGACAGCTAGCCCTGGAGAGTGGGACAGGCGGGCCCTGGGAAGTACCAGGGTGTAGACAGGGTGGTGGGTGCAGAAAGAAAACTAATTTCATCTGTGTCTAGCCCAGCACCCAGTCCTCATGGATGAAATTATTCTTCCTGTTTTCCTTCATCTCCTTTGCTTTCAAAATTTAGAACTTAGGTAGGAATCAATAGTACTTTCGTTCAGCCAGTTTGGGTTAGATGGGACTTTACTGACAAAACTGAAAGTCAACTGTTATTTATAATAATTTCTTCTTTGCAGAAACAAAAGACTTAACGATAATGATTCAAAAGGGAATATTTCCAAGGCTGTCTAGACTACCTTTTAAACCAGAACTATACAATTTCAGTGTTTCTGGAAGGAAGCTTAAAGGTGACAGGGCTCAACTTCCTCATTCTACAGGAGGAAACTGAGGGGTATCTTTATCAGTGTCGAGTTTTCCTGACCCTTGAGTACTGGGCTTTCCTACCACATTACCGAGGGAACTGTCTGTTGATAGGAAGCATTCTCCTGAAGAAGCCCTGCTATACTTCTCCTCTTTCCTCAGTCTGTAAGCTATTTCATTTCCAGCTTCTCTGTTATCAGTTCTATTTGCGCCTCTCAAGGCCTGGGAGTAAATCGACAGCTCTCACAACTCCCGTGTAGAATTTCTCCTCCAGCTTCTTTCTTCTCACAAATTGGGACTTTATTTACCCGAGAATGAAACAACCTACTGCAGGTTCGTTTCAGCAGGTTCTGGCTGGGACTGAGGTATGCAAAGTCAAAGAATGGGACTTGGGGAACTAGAGGTTCTGAAGGTGCCTGTCAACTGAGGAGCCACTGTGGACAGAGGAGAGCTGACACAACTGTGTGCAGAGCAGGGGGCAGGCAGAAAGGGCTGAAGAACAATGTCTCTGTAGCCAGACAGGTAGGGCCCCCAAGGATGAGTCTGTGAAGCACATATTCCAATCTCAGAATGGAGTAGCTTTCTCGTGCATTATTGCCCCCTCTTTTTATTTATTTATTTTTATATCATGAGAATGAAAAGTGATACCCATTGGTAAACATAAGCAAAAGTTATAAAGCGAGTAAATTAAAGGGTAGCAAATGATAAAATCTTGGACTATCAGTTACACCATATTCGTAAACCAGGAAGGGAGCATAAAACTTACTTTCACTAGCCACATGATTAGCTGGAAAATAACCTTCCTGTCCCTTTCCTATGCTGCCATACCACCAGTCTTCATTATCTTTGAAAAACACTCGGATAATGTCTCCGCGATGGATGGTTAGTTCATCTGATCGATTCGCTGTGTAGTCATAAAGAGCCACTACCTACGAGAGAGATAAGACCACCACAGCTTTATCACAACTGTACCACAGAGAAAACCCCCAACATTCACTTCCTCTTGCAGAAGAGCAGCTGAAACCAAAGCAGTACTTTGGTAAGTCTGAGGCTGTCTCAAGGTTTGCTAATGGGATCAGGGGTGGTGGGAACACAGCAGGAGAAGCAAGATAAAAGACTGTGGGATTGAGAAATGGTTAAGAGCATTCAATACACTAAGATTAGCTTCAAAATAGCAGATGTTAATTTTTTTTACAAGTGAATTACTTGTGAAGCAAATAAAAAAAAGGCTCACACACCATTCACTTTCTTAGAATTTTTATACTACCTTCAGATCCCATTCTCCCATCTCTAAGCAGATGTATCCGAAAAAAAAATTCTTCAGAATGTCAACAATTTTACAAAAAGGAAAGAGCAATGAAACAACTTGATTACATAACTTCATTGTGATCACTTGGTTTACTGTTAATATTTCTTTTTAAGATATATTTCCCCAAAAACACATGATCTTTGGTATTTTCTATCCGCAATCTAAATCTTTTGACTACCTTTAAAACACTCTTAATAAGGTTATTTTCACTAGACACAAATTAAAAAGGAAAAGCCTTTCTATAAGAATTCTCTGTGTTGTACAGTAGACACTATATTTGATTTTTTTCTTTTCCAAAAAGTAAAATCAAAATGAATGAGTGCACGGAAACTTAACAAATCCCTTATAGCAGTTACAAGGAAGACCTTGTATCCGTTTTATATGTCATACATTGTATAATGTAGGACATAGTATGTGTACTAAAGAATAAACTACTTCTTTTCCTACTTAAATGGGATTTGAAAATTAATAGGCAGTGCCTGGGTGGCTCAGTGTGTTAGGCATCCTACTCTTGATCTTGACTCAGATCCTGATCTCAGGGTCATGAGTTCAAGCCCCACACTGAGCATGGAGCCTACTTAATAAAAAAAAATTAACAGGTTATACAACTATATATGTAATGGAAAATTATCATTATAATCCTTTGCATTTAGGTTGAGTACTCATTCACTTACTTAACAAGTATTTACTGAAATCCTAATGTGCCTAGGGGTTAGGGGCTAGATATATAACAATAAATAGGATCCTTTCTAGAAGGGTTAATCTAGAAAGGATAATCAGGAATTGGCTAGGTGAAGAGATGGAAAGTGTGTCTTGGGCAGACTGTACCACATGTGTGAGAGTCCAGGGAAGAGAAACCTACAATAGACTAATACGGTGGGAGCCTGAATTAGAGGTAAGAGCCTCACTAGCCAGGTGGGGGAGGTGAGGCTGCAGGGGTAGTAGGGGCCAGATCATGCACGCTACAGGAGCTCATGCTCATACTACCGGCAATGGGAAGAGATAATGGTTTGATGTAGGGGATGCCATAAGAATTCACAAAACTCTGGATAGTGCTTTTTAAATTAATTTACAGTATTTATTAACACATTAACCAGGATATTTTAATGGATAAATCTGGAATTACCTGCTGTCACTACCTGGTATAAGGGCAGTAATAATAATTTAAGTCAAATGGTACAAATGCCATTCCAACTGTACTGCTTAGCACAGTCTATAATTCACAATGCATTATGCAGTATGTTGTTTCAAGTTTACAAACCTCTTATGCCTTTGAGTGTATTGACATCAAATCACTTATGTAAAAGTGGAACTTTTAACTCTTTGCTTCCTTCTTGCGTTTCCAAACCTTTTCTCCTTTATTCTTCTACCTGGTACTATCACAGAAGAAAGCTAATGAAAATGTTCTGAGTGCCTGCCACATTCTAGGTATGATGCTAGTGGCTTACGAAAGTTCTTATACAATCTGTAGCACAATCCTGTCAGGGTATGAATTCTTATTTCAATTTCATAAATGAGAAATTTTATGCACAGAGAAATTTAGTAACTTACTAAAGTTAACTATGAGTTATACTTTTTTTTTCTTCTTCAAACTAAATACATGTATAGGACATCTCAGTCTAGAATCAAACACTGGGGAAGAAGCAGCAGAGGGGAAGGGAGGGACAGAGATCTTAATCCCTCGTGAAAGATCAGACACATTTTTGGGTGGCACTATTTAAGTGGCTGACTGCAGGGAGGACCAACAATCCTGGGCCACCAGCAGGCCCATTGTGCTCCTTTCAAGACACCTGAGACCCAGTCCTAGAAAACTGTAAGCATCTGCTGCTGCTGTTCCTCATCCTAGCTCTGGTACACAGAAATAGCACAACTCTGATGAATCTTACGGAAGTAGAAAGGCCGTGTGCACTTATTTCTCTGAATAAGTGCTGAGGTGGCTGCTGGGAAGAAGAGTACGAGAGATTCAGCTTAGGCAAGAGAATCATTCAGGGAGTCCCACATCAGGCTTGTGTCCTTCCGCGGATTTTGATAATGTGGAATTCATCAAACTAGAGTCAGAAAACCTTTCCTGAATTGTCTATGAGGGCCCGATGATAAGAGTTCCTTCAGAGGTACAGGGGTCCAAAAGATCTAGAAGATTCTACATTTCCATTTTCCAATTAAATTATCCATGGATTGCCCTCCTCATATAATCAAATCTAGCACACCAGTTCTACGTGGCTTTCCAGTCCTGGTAAATATGTTCTACCCTCTACATCCCTGTTGTGGACTGAATTGTATGCCGCCCCTTCCCCCCCCTTCCCCCCCCCACCCCGAATTCATAGATTGAAGCCCTCATCAGGTGACTGTATTTGGAGAGAGGGCCTTTAAATAGATACTTAAGGCCAAATGAGCTCATATGGGTGGGGCCCTTATCCAACAGGACTGGTGTCCTTACAAAAAAGAGGAAGAAATAGTAGGAGCACATGTGCACAGAGAAAAAGGACATAGGAGGACATTTTGAGAAAGCAGCTGTCTGCAAGCCAAGGAGAGGTATCAGAAGAAACTGACCCAGCTGGCTACTTGATTTTGGACTTCTAGTTTCTAGAACTGTGAGCAAATACATTTTTGTTGAAGCCCTCAGTTGATGGTACTTTGTTACAGTAGTCCTGGCAGACTAATACAGTTCTACAGCTGGATGGTGTTTGATGAATCACTCACTACGGCCTGTCATGGCACCGCAAATGGCCAATACTTCACTTCTAGCTATTTTGGGTCCTCACCAGCTTACAGTACTGCATCCAACACCATTATAGTATTATTTCCTGATGCAGAAACAATGAATGGCCTTGTCACCAACATCCTCAGGAGGGTGATGGCTGGGAAGGCTACATCTCTCAAAGCAAAGGAAGTATTTGGAGAATCTCATCCTCATACCATTACTGACATGAAAGTGCAAAACTGCTATAAGTGAGGAATCGGTATGCTTCACATGCCAAGTCTACATTATGGCAGTGGAGTTATGACCATTCCTTCCTCATACTGAAGGTACGTGACAAAACCCATGTGGCTTATGATAATCTGCTTTACATTCCAGTGTGTGTTTTCATCCAATATGCCATCTTCTCATTTGAGGACTACTTACTCTCTTTTGAGCATCTTAGTATACACCGTAAACTTCTCTGCTTGTTTTGATTTGTAGTGGATTCTGTATAAATTGTCTTCCCCATCTTCAATTATACTTTGTTATAATCTCACTGTTTCAGAGTAAAGTAAAGCTCCATAAAAAAGTTGGGAGGGTGCCTCGGTGGCACAGTTGGCTTAATGTCTGACTTGGTTTTGGCTCAGGTTGTAATCTCAGGTTCCTTAGATAGTGCCCCGCATGGGGCTCTAAGCTTAGTCTGCTTGGGATTCGCTCTCTCCCTCTGCTCCTCCCAGTCATGCTCTCTCTCTCTCTCTCTCTCAAATCAATCAATCAATTTTAAAACAAAAACCAAAAAATGTTGGGAGACACAATCTCATCAAGAGGTGTGTTTTAAATTAATGTGTTTTAAATTAATCCTGCATCTATCTTTTCTCTGTCTTCTGGTAGCTCTTGTCATTAGTCTTGACCATTCTTGTGATGAGTATCTTTTACAACGTACCACACAGCGCTCTGGAACTTATATGACAGAGTATCTTCGGCAAGATCTTTGAGCTGACAGAGGAGTTATGACATCTTTCTGCAAAAGAAGTTTAAAAGCATTCATTTATGTGCCCATCCTGGTAATGACAGGTCTGGGAAATGGTCAAATTTTGTCCATGATTCAAATACCTGAAACAGAGTTCCTTCTTCTCAAAGCCTGCCAAACTGCTTGGGTGCAGGCATGAGGAAGGTGCCATTGTGGGTTTTTTGTTTTGTTTTGTTTTTTAATTAGTTAATTAATTAGTTAATTAATTTCCTGATGTTCATTTTTCAGTCTTCCAAGCAGTGCTTGCCAAAGACAATTTCTTGGTTTAATAAAGCAGAGTCTGTCAGGCTGTTTTAAGACATTTAGGTGAATTCCTCCTTATATTAACTTCTGAGAGATTTTTCATGATTATTGTTGTCTCTGAAGAAGTCTCAATAGTTCTTGAAACCAGTGTACTGAAGGAACATTAACCAGTATTGTCCAGCAGCAGAGACTTCTTGCAACTTTGGCTCTAAAATAATCAAAGAATCAATATTCATAATGGTCCCAAGTCATTCAATAGGCTAAGTTATGTTGAATAAACTCAGACACCTGAGTACTTTCTCCTCTCTGATTGCCCCAGCTGACTCTCTGGCCACTGGGAAACTTCTTTGTGCCAGGCTGCAGCCAACGTGCATCTGGATCCCACCACCTTCCCTCTGCTTTCTTCCTTGCTTAACTTGATTTCTGACTTCCGGCCTCTAGAATACTCTTGAAAGAATGAACTTCTCTTGTTTTAAGCCATACCATATTTATGCTAATTTATTATAATAGCCCTAGAAAACTAATATATGTGAATTTTACTTTGGGGAATGTTGGATTTTCTTGTACTCCCTTAAAGAGTATAAGACCTTTGTACTTGTACAAAGTGTTGGACCTTTTTCTGGCATGTAGTTACTTGTTAGTTTTGTTAGGGAACCTGGACTGGATC